CAAAAGCCTAGGAAACTGACTGCTGAGCCCACGCCTTCTGTGTCCTCCAAAGGGCATGGTGTACCTCTCACTGCCCATTTTGCCCCTAAAATGGAGAGAAAGCTGGAGGGTGAGTCTTCGTATCCAGGGACGAGAGCTCACAGATTTGCTTAAATCATCACAAGTCCTTGCAAGCCTCCTTGCTAGAGAGAGACCTGAGAAAGTAAGGTCCCTTTGAAATGAAAACTTAGATCATTTATGCAAAAACATTATCTATGCTGCTAGTGAGTAAAACTTTTTCTCAAATTACCTTTGGGGTCTGTGACATCTTTTGAACATCTGCAGCAGTTTCCAACTTATGAGAGTGTTTTTTGATATCTGAAAACAGTGAAGTTACCTCTGGTCAAAGCTTATGAATAATGATCAAAACAGCCTCAATGGCTTGCTTTAAATGACTGATGTAGTATGAAGTTTGTTGCCCCCAAAATTTACTTTGAAGAACACCAAGAATTTCGCCTTTCTAGCACAGACCCTGGGTGAGCTGCAGGAGTATTCTGAGTGGCTCGAGGCTTCTCGGGCTGACCTTGCCCCATTGCTGCCGGCACTCGGCAGCAGGCAGCGCTTGCGTCTCTCTCAGTTCTGTCCGCTTGTGAACATGTCAAGATACAAATACACGGGCTTCGCATTATGTCGGTCCTTCTAGCAAGAGAAAAACGTCAGAAGTGGATGCCATTTCTGTATTACTCTGCACAGATGTCAACCCTGCTTTTTGTCTGGTCCAAGATGGAGTCTAACTTCAGAGGTAGGTGGGTACTTTCTAAGTCCACTCGTCTCTGACACACACTGGGACAAAAACACCCCGTATTGACAGAAAGAGGCCTTGGTTGCTAAAGCTGCAGAAATGACAGCTCAAACTGGGGACAGCTTCTGCTGAGTTTTCACCCCATCAGACATTCCCATGGGTGAGCTTCTGGGTTCTTATTACCCCTAACATCCGAAATGCCCTATGGTTCCTTTTACCTCCGCCCCCACACTCTGCCAATTTCTGTCAATGCAAACTAAACAGAGATTGAGATTATTTTGGTCTCACCAGGGAAGAGACAAGCCATACACACATTACACAAGACTGCATAGATTTGCCAGAAACTCACCACACCGTCCCCTGTGCTCTGGGAAGGGCAGACTTTCATCTAAGTGGCCAGATCAGCAGAGTAGGGAGATAAATTATTTTCCTGTTTTCAGACTCCCCAGAGCGCTCTCATCAGAGCATGAACGTCTGGACACGAGCGGTAGAAATGTGGGAAACGTGGCCACGAGGAGTGTGTGTGCGCGTCTTTGACTGTGCGTTTGCTCTGGCCCATTTCCCTTATTTCATCTAATTCAGATCCAACAGTGTAGGTTATTTTAAAATAATGAGCGGTGACAAATGTGCCGCACTTACTACCTTTTGCGCTTTCCTGGCTGCCTGCAGCTAATTTCAAGAATGGAGCTCATTTTTGTTCTTACTTTGGAAAGTGGGGTTACACTGAAGTTTGATTTGAATCATAAGGTCTACGATGTGACCTATGGTAGAGCCGAACACATGGTCACTAACATCTGCCTGACTTCAGGTTTACAGGGACCCTCCGTGTAGCCCAGAGGTGCCTCGCAGGCAGCCTATTCTGCCCTAGCAGGTTAGAGCTCACAGCACTCCTATATAGCCTCTAAAATAACCAGCTCCTAAGTGCATTGGTGGGAAACAGCTACTTATTTCAGTGACTGTTGAGTGGAAAAGGGGAGGTTCTCTCACGCCGTCGGCCAGGTAAGAAGGCAGGTTCTATTCTTCTCAGCTGGCCCATAGGATGCTCCTGCTCACTCCTAGGCTTGGCAGCCACTTGGTGAGAGCTGGATGTAGGAGCAGACATAAATTCAAGCAGAGTTACCACTAGCTGTTCCTATGCGGACTGGGTAGTTTGCTCCTTGTGTATTTAGCTCCAGGAGCGGTGGATGGAAAGGCAGGATATAGTCATTGCACAGGTCGTAGTTTAGATGCCAATTTAATGTGAGCAAAACTTTGTCAGAAGGACACCTTTTGAGCCTGAAGAGGAGGACACTGCATATGAATATGCCAGGACACGATTCCCAAGTGAACTGGGGTGCCTGGTGTCCTCACCAAACCCTAATCTCAGCCCATCCCTCTACTTTAACACACAGAATCTAATTTTCATGTAGTAAGCAGGTAAAGAAACCTAAGCTCAAAAGCAATAGATAATTATAAAAATAGCCTGAATACTCAAGATTAAAAGAAGTGCAAGGACCCGAGGCAGGCTGCCCACCTACAGACCCAGCCAGAGGCGCCGCCCACGCCTTCTAGCTGCTTTCATGACCTCACAGTGCTGTCATCTAGGTGGAACATGTTTCTGTTTATCAAGCTCTTCATGGGCATGCTCTTCCTCAATGGCACCAGGTTTGTTATCGGGACAATGGCCACACAGCAAGTGGCAGAGGCAGAACTCAATCCCAGATCTGGCTGCATCCAGGCGTCTTCCCACCTGCAGCGACCCCTTTGAGATCTGCTCTGAGTGGGCTACAGTCTGTATCCTGAACCACAAGCTCAGGAAGAGGAAGATAATCCCGGGGAAGGAGGAGATAATACAAAATGAAGCCAGTAGGATGGACAGAGCATTGTTACATGAATCAAAATTAGCTGCAAAACCAGATCATATATTGAAAGCACTTCTTTTTGCCCTTTTCATCTAGAAACTATCCTGAGCTAGGTAAAAACTAGAAAAAAATTAGGTAAAAAAACTACCTATATCTAACATGGTACACTGAAGAATTTCCCGTGTCTGGGCTCACTCTACTTCTGAATGAATGCATGCTAATGACAGAGAATCCCATGGAGTAGGGCCAGTCAGGCCCCATGTTTAAGGGTGAGTAGGCTGAGGCCTGGCCGTGCCAACTGGGGCCTGCACTGTCTGCTGCTCTCCCAGGATTGACAGGCACCCCTGGGGAGCGCCACAGACCTGCAAACCGCTTTCCAGGGAAAATGGTCCTTAGTATGTTTATCAAAATAGATGAAGCTCATATTCAAAACAGTATGCTCTGGCATTAGAGTCAGACGGCTATCTGGTTCTTCCTCTCCCAAGCCTGGCAAACTCATTTTTTCCTTCTGATATTCAGATAATTTAGGCAAAAGTGGGGTTAGCCTTCAACAATGTATAATGCAAGGCTAACTTGATAAAAAAAAAAAAAGAGTAAAAGTTTTTCTAAAAGTTGGGCTAGGGAAGCACAAATAATCCCACTAGGACAACATCAATAGAAAAGTATCAGGAGCTTTAAAAGACTAACACATTTTTTCTGGTTTGACAGAAGGACTGATGTTTCCAAGAAGGAATTCCTCAAACTGCCATCTGGGACTATGCTCGTTAAATTGACTCATGTTGCAGGGATATGATCAGAATGCAGAATTTAGAGAATAAAGCCGTTTCCTCTTGATTCTATGAAGTGCCTCAGTTTTACCCAAGCCACAAACACCCCGTGGGCTTTAACTTCTGAGTAGACAGTAAGATGTGGCATCTTCCACTGGGGTGGCTTTAATGGGCACTGTACCTTGAGACTGACGCAAGAGGCGTTAGCATGGAGGAGCTGTCCTAGAGGACCCCAGGAAAGGCTCCTTGCTCTCCTCGGCTTACTAATGATGATCCGTCCTGAACTCCACAAAGGCCTTCAATTCTCAGCACAGCACCAAAATGTTCTTTTGCAGACAATTAGTAATAAGCAGTGATCCATGGGAAGGAGTTATTTATGCCTTTAATGTTACACTTACAAAATGAAGTTAATCAATGGCCATTTATGGGGGTGCTGAGGATACAGGCGATCGGGCACCTGTCTGTGACATCCAGGAAGCAGGAGTTCCAACTTGGGGTTGGAGTGAGGACAGGAAAAGGCAAAACCAAGGGTTTTGTAATTTTCTTATTTTAGGAAGGGAAGCATCACTGAGAGAAGAGCAAAAGACACTTAGGTAGAGATGGGAAAGACTAGACAGTCAAGGAAGACGTGCTTTTAACACAAGCAAATTTTCACTTTGAGATCCGCAGAAGAGTGCAATGAGATGATTGAATCCTGGCTGCCATTGATGAGTATCCATTCCCTCCCACCCCCTACCAACACTCCTCCCCCTTTTAAGGTTAACTGGTCAGTCAGAGGCTGAGCCAAAAGAGGCTCTTTCTTGAGAACATCATGATCCACTGCTTGAGACCAATAAGCAGGATGTGCACCCTGCTGAAGGAAAGCCACCTGCTACCACAGCCCAAGTAACATGGCACTAAACAGCTTTAAGAGAAAGAGAAATGGGTCAGTCCTTGGCCATGATTTTCCAAACCTAGTTTTCTGTTGGCAGGAAACAAACGTCATGGATTGATGGGCTGAAGCTTGACTGTGGGGGGAGGATCCCAAAACAGATTACATCTCCCGTAAGAGAGGCACCGAAGAGCCATCTCTGGGCCAGAGGAGGCACTCACTGTCAGCTCAAGGGTAGGAGGCGAGCTTCCCAAGTGCTACCCCGATCAGGGGTGATGGGAAAATGGGGCAGGGCTGAGGCTCTTGGCAGTTAAACCACTTGTGAGAGGGGTGTCCCTGGAGAAGCCCCAGAGACATGTAAGACTCTGGCTTGGTCTCGGTCTCTGCTGAGTGGATGCTGTCTGGGAGAGGACAGAGAGCATCTGGCCACATGTCAGCCTGTGCATTCTCTCCCCCCTTTTCTCACTTCCTATGTAAACCAACATGTTCTTGTTGTTTCACTGCTTTTGGGTCGTATCTTGCCACTACAACATGCAGCTGAGGACCTGCCAAATGGGCATTTGCTCTGGGTTTGCTTGGTTTCACTGGGGAGGACTGGAAAACTCATCACTGACTATTCCATAGTTTGGGGGACACCTCACTGCAGTCCTTCCCACATCAAGCTGGACTCTATTTTCAAAAGTTTCAAACTATGTGGGTAATATGCCAAGATCAGTAAGACCACAAAAGAAACAATTCACTGATCAGAAAATAACAATGACTCTTTATAAACCTGTACGGGGTCTACATTATTTCTTCTTTGTGTATATTTTCATTCTAGAGAGAATTAAAGCGATACATGTCTGCAGGGACTATGCCCAGCACTTCCGGTTCCCCGAATGGCTCCCTCCAGCTTGTTCCAGGCAGACGTCTGGCATGTCAGGGATGGCAATTCTTGTAGATTCCTCACTATCCATGCTCATATCAAGTCCAGCTGTGAACAGGAACACACAGTTAGAGAAAAGCCTGGTCCACTCCAGTCCACCATGTCTCTGGTGAGAGTTTAGGGGCATGTTTAGGTGACGTCACAAGTCACTGCCCCCTCTTTCAGGATTTCAAAACAAATACATCTCCTCATTACAATACCAAGAAATTCTCCACAGAAAGGCTATAAGCTTTTTCTGGACAACTGTCACGTGAAGTTTAAAGATAGCCATTTTCCAGACACAAAAGATACATAACAACCAACACTTCTACAGGCTTCAGGCTTTCAGAAGGGATGTGATGAGGATGAGAAGTCCCCAGACGTCTATCAGTCTATTTTGTTTACACTAATTGAGAACATTAAGAATTAGCACTTTAAAAGGCTGCTTTTATTTGTCAACTACACAAAGTACATGTTATAACAGTTTCAGTAAATTACATTTTGCTACTAAAGGAATAGCTTCCCCAGGACTTTTTGGTTCTTGAAAAGAAAAAATTAACCTGAATAAACATATAAACCACAGGGCAGAAGAATTTTTATTATGAAATCAGCTATCTGATTAAATGTACAATGGCAATATATAATAGTGTCAGGAGCTTTTGGTGTGTTAAAAATTCAAACAAAAACATGAAACAAATCTATGATAAGCAGCTTTTGTGTCTGTATTTATAGTTCAGATGATTCCAATCACTGGAACACCTGGTACATATTAAAAGTACTTACTAAATCATCCACATCACCACCTTCTTCAAATTTGGCTGCCGTGTCTTCATTTGGATTTTCTTTGGGGGCCAGAAACTGTGGAAAGGCAAGTGTGGTATCAATATGGCATTTCCCTCTACTGATGGATGATCAATCTGCTGGCATTGCCACTCTGCTTAGCAAAGTCTCTCAGCAATGGACCAAAAGGGACACCGTCTTGATGTAGTCTCCCTCGTTTGGTGTTGGATAAGGGAGGATCGATTTTGAAGGTGAACAACGCATGCTAACTAGTCACCAGAGGAAAGTGAGAAGGGAGGAAAAGTACGGTGTGCCAAGGCAGAGGCCGGCTGCGCACTGCGATGTCCCACACTGCCATTTCTGCTTTCACAGGTGGCCAGTGAGAAAGAAAACGAGCTCCCTAAACTAGTATGTTCTGGTGTCTTCTGAAGGGGATATAAGAATCGTGTCTAATATAAGAATCTAGTTTAAAAATTGTGATAATCTGTTCCTCAATTCCACTGAGACAAGGAAGTAAAAGGGAGAACTCTCTATGAGAAGTAAAACACAAAAAAATGGATGAGCTTAGGGGATTGCGTCAATTCTTTTTCTGGAAATTCCTCAATTTGTGTTAGAAATCGTCTGAAAACAGTAAGGTAGATGCCAAATCTTCTAGTGGATGCTTCTGTTTGGTATCGTAAGTTCTAAAAGGTGGATCAAGGGTGCCGAATTCAAGTCTGTGAAGGTCTCAGCATGAAACTCAGATTTTAAAGGGAAAATGAGTACTAATGAAAACTACCTGAACACTCTTGCTCTCCATCCTGGCCCTCAAGAGATAGTGGTGGATAGCAATCTGTTCCTTCAACACATCTAAGAGCTATTTCCTATTAATCACGTGCCTATCCCAGCACCAGAGGGTGGTCTTAAATACTTAAGATGATACAGAGCCCAGCTGGTAGGACGAGCGTAAAGGGCACCCATCCCTGTCAGCCTCCTCTGGCCAGTGTGCGTGGAGGAGCCTTGGGAGAGAGCCTTTCTGTCCTTGCCTATAGCTGTCTCCACCTGAGAGGGAAAGATGGGGTGATACTCTTCTCACTTCCTCTACTTATAAGCATGGCAAAAACTCAATTCCCTATGCATTCATATTACTTTTATGGTACAATGGACATAATCAAAGGCCCTGAAGCCTATAAACGATCTGACCACGTGCAGTCTCAGGAAACCAGCACTGTATGTCCTTCTACTCTTTCATGTGGAGAGACACACACCCCGAGTGACAAAATGGCAGCTGGAAAGCCTTACCTGAAGACTTGGGCAAAGTCTCTGTTAGCACCGTGGACATGGCCATGACCTTTGTTGTTGACTCAACCTCCCTCCTGAACTTTTTTAGTCACAGTCACTTCACCACTCACTAACATCAATTCAGACTGAGAGATCAAGAAATAGATCTTCCTCTGAGAACACTTATGGATCTTTCCACAGCTTTACTGAACCTAAACTGGACTGTGTTTAACATTGGGAACCAATGGTCTAAGAGACGGAAAGTGTTAGCAATAGGGGTACAACCTGGAATGCAACTGTAATGCAGCTCCAGTATCATCAATTCTTTTATTTATTCTAATAAATCATAATAAAGATTCTCAGGGCATATGTCTAAAGATCAAATTGATTAACTTAGATTCCCAAATTAATCTTCATATAGACTCTCCTAGTTATAATTATTACTATTAAAATTTATTTTTATCTTCTCCTCTTCTACTCATCATTAACCCCCATATGATTTTCCCTACATCCAGAGTATACGGGTAACGGGTACGACTTACCCAGATGAAGTGAAAGGAGTAAAAAGGAGAGCCACGCCTTCACCGTAAACCTCGGTGGAGCCAGAGATGACTGGCATCTCCAAACACAAGACCCTGGGCTGAGCGCTATAGCCACTGCTTTCATTATCCTTCAGTACCCAACACATGGTAGATATTACTGATGAATCTAGAAAATCTCTCATGCATTTTGGCAGCCAGTTTCTAAAAGCACCGGTTGCCCTCTTTCCTTCCCCATTTGCAAAGTCACTTTCACACTGCGCAGTATGTCCACAGGATATACAAATGGCACATCTCTGTGTCTAGGCCAACTTCAAGAGAGGAGCAGTGGCAAACTCATTTCCATCAAGTGCTAAACATCTGCAACTGATTTTCCTGACAGATCTGTTTCACATTTCTACATAAGCAAATTATGGCTAAAAGCTGGCCTGCCATCCATTATCCTTCCCGAAGCCCCAGGCGAGCCTGAGCTCTCACATGTATCACTCATCATCAGAGTTTTTAATTTCCCGGCTGTGCAGTGACACAGAAGCTAGAAATACAGCAGCAAATTCAAGGATTGGCCTGCTTTCTCAATAAAAGTAAGAGTCTCTGAAAGCAGCAGAAAGGGGTAGGAGTCAACTCTTATCTTATGCTTTGGGGGGGGGGCAGTATGATGAAAAAGCAGAGACTAAATGGGACTTTTGTGTGATACTCTCCTTTTTTCAAACCAAAATCATTTGCTCAGGGTTACCAAGAAAGCACACCCGTACCCAGAGATCTTTATGAAATAGATAAACCACTGCTTTTTAAGTGCACTGAAATACAATCCTGGCCACGAGCAGAGAAAAGGAAGACTAATCTGCGCTGAAAGCGCCAGTCCTATTCCTCCGTGAGACTGAAAGCTGACATTCAGTTTGTACGGAGACTCTTACGAGCCCCCAAGTTACACGGCTTGCTGTCAGGCTGACTCGAGCACTATCAAGTGATTTCAAAGACTCACCCATAATCCAGATGGGTAAAAAAACCTCAGAAAGAAAAGTCTGTTTTCATGCATTTTATTTAAAATGACATACATTTATGTTTAATTAATGCTGCCTATGGTTTATTTTATACTATAAAGGTGACATAGTGAACAGAGAAATCCTGCAACCCAGAATGGAAGAACAGGGCCATAATTTCAGTTGTTAAGCTTATCAATAGCCCTAACTAGTTTTCCTAAAAACAAACAAAACCCTCCAGAAATACTACTACTTACCATTCTATCTGATGGGGCTGTGCTGAGTCTCAGCTGGAATAAAGTATATAAAAATGCATATCCTATAAAAACGTATATCCTGGCAGTGGGTTAAAGCGCAGCACTGAGAATCTAAAGCCACTTCTGCATGAGTTCGGTACCCGCCTGCCCTGGAGGTGACCCACATGGTGTGGCAGACCTCTCCTGACCCACCCGCTGCTCCCCTCAGCAGTGTACTTTATTGATTTGCCTGTTCTGCTCCCCACTCTGCCTCTGGTGAAGCCTCTCTCCGCCCCTGAGCCTCTGGCCTGTACCCCAGTTCTGTATGCACAAATAAATAAATGTTAAGAAAAAAAAAGTATATCCTAGGCTTTATGTTCTAACTCCTAGGCACAGACCCACCATAGGTCTACCAAATGATGTGTAGACTATCCAGAGCATTTTTATTCATAACTGCTAAAGTTTGAAGATAATCAAATGTCCAGCATCCAGACAATGGACGAATAAATTGTGGTATCATCATAAAACGGAGCAGTATACGAATGTAATAAAGATGAACAGCTGCCAATATGAATGAATGAAAAAAGGCATACTCCAGTCACATGAATGTTAAGAACAGGTAAAGCTATTCTCACATAACAGATGTCAAACTAGATGTTACCTTGGCAGACAAGGAGCTTCTGATGGGAAGGATACAGGGAGCTTTCTTGGGTTATGGAAATGTTCTATATTTTGATCTGGGTGGTAGTATCCAGATAAATGTGTAAGAATTCATCAAGCTGCACAATTAAGATATGTGCATTTACTGTATCTATGTCCCACTTCATTAAAAATTTTAAAATGATAATTTAAGTATCAAACTCAAACAAATACCACTGTTACTTTTAACATTGTGATAATTTCTTTTTCTTTCTGGTTCTAGCACACAGATGTTCTACATAAGGATTTTAGGCAGAAAAGCTGAAAAAGCAAAGTAAAATATCATGGGGGCCAACAGGAATCAGTAGTTACAGACAACTATTTTCACGAAATGATTTGTAAATGTTTACATTATTATTCACAAGGGCTCTGGGGCCCTCTCACTCGTGTGTACACACCAAGCTGGGAGTACTCCTGTAGGAGGGAGCATAAGAATCTTTCCTTGGGTAGATGTGGCTGGCGACAGTCTAAAGTGGAAGCATGCAGTGACGGAAAGAGGGTTACGGTAGGAGTTTAGGGGTCCAGAGTCTAGCAAATTTTAGCCATGGACTTGCTACGAGACTCTGAGCAAGTCAATTTCTCTCTTAGATCACCTCTGTACAAGGAGCAGGTTGCTAAATTCTGACTATCTTTCACGCTCAGGTGGAAAATCAGCCAATATCCACAATGACAAAGGTGGCCAGACTAGGTAGTCGCCAGGAAAATAACTGCTAAAAATTCTTTTTCCTTCCACAAAGCTGGTATCTAGTGACTGCTCACATGCTCAGTCTTTTGGAGAAACTACTCCAAAGCCACGGGAAAAATCCTCTTTACTTCTATGTTCTCAATACAGGGTAAAAGCATAGAGGGCAGGGGTCAGCCCCAGAATGGATTCCTGGCCAGAGACAGGCTACAGAGCTCGACATGCCATTCTACTTCTCAGTGCCCTAAATTTCTTCATCTCGAAAGCCAGGTATCTGGACTAGATCAGTATTTTTCAGGGACTGTTCCTTGAGGTCCTGCGGGTTCTTTCCAGTCCCCCTGGGCACAGGTAATTCCAATCGGCCACACCCCTGCCCACCAACTGTGGGGCACTGCCTTTGTCTGGCTTATGTATCAGGGTTCCTTGCAAGTTTTCAGATTTAAAAATAAAAACTTGGCTAGGAGATCATTAGGATTCTTTCTAGCTTAATAAAGTCCCATACAACTAAAGCCAATGTTTTCTGCCTTAGTTAAGAATCTGTTTTGTTTAAATTCTTCTAATCCAGGGCTTCTCAACAGCATCATCATTAACCTGTTGGGCCAGACAATTCTTTGCTGTGGGTCTGTCCTTTGCACTGGAGGATGTTTGGCAATACCCTTGGCCACTAGGGGCTTGTAACACACCCCCTGTTGCAACTATCAGAACCAGTCTAGCAGAAGCCTTGCCTGTCCCAGCCCCAGGTCTGTTACTGACTGCAGCCTGGGCCAAACCACTTCCTAGATGGTCCTGGAATGTGCCAGCTAAAGAGCCTCTCTTCCTACCCAGCAGTGCCATGCCTTGAGAATGAACTTACAGACTGAAGGTACAAAGGAGCTACGTAGACTTTACCAAACACTGAATGTTAATTGCAAGTCAAACACTAACAACTAGAAACAGAGCAAGTGAATCTTCAGGTGCAATGACAACATACAGGAGTGTAAAGAGGTTAGGTAATGTTTATGCCTAGGCTTCCAAATGGATTGAGAGACAGTAGTAAATTTAAAAGGAAGCAACTAAACTTACGTTACCGAAAAACTTCCTATTTCTGCAGCAGGGCTGACTTAACTACTTTTCTCAAAGAATCATAAAATCCACATGAGGGAAACTGCTCTCAAGAAGACAAGTGTAAAGATATGGCTTAATTTTCATTTAAAATGAAATGCCCCTCCCTGAGCAATTATTTCCTTTCAAATCATTAATATTCAACAGCAATAATTCGACAGCTTGCTAACTTTAAATAACTTATGATAAATATCTTGAAAAAACTTAACTGAGCTGTGAGGCCTGTTCTTCAATCTCTCTGATTATAATCAGAATCATTAATTGATTATTTGGCTTAATACTGGCTTTGACGGCAATGTAAATGAATGCTCCAGTACATGATCAAAAAAAATTATGCATTCCTAATTTGCCTGGAAAAAAAAAAATAGCTGAAGAAGAATCTCACTCATCAGAGTTCTCCCCACTTATTAGTAAGGCAAAGGATTATGTTTTGACTCCAAAAATATAAAATAAAGAGTTCATGTGATAATGAAGGAAATGCAAAAGGCTCATCTCCAAGTCAGACAAGACAGAGCACACCCTGAAGTGAGTGAGAGCAACCAGGTCTGCCCTCCCATGGTCATGTATTTCCTTCCTATTCAAAGAGGGTGAAGTTTCCAGAGCTGTCTGAAAACACAACCAACAGAAAACCAGTTCTGGATACTAGAAGCATCTAAGGACACTACCTCCTATCTCGTCATTAGCTGAAATTTCTCTCTGTAGGTTCATTTTCAGATACTCAAATTCTTGGTGCTAGGCTCTGTGTCTTTAAATTCCAAGTAAGATACTACATGTGCAACACAGAACGAGCCTCAGACAATTTGCCAGAAGCACATTATCTCTTCTTAGATTTACTTCCTCTCTGTATTTCAGATTCACTTAGCTGTGACAGGTTTGTGGTTAAGATGTATTGCTGGCAGGAAAACCACCTTTTCCAGATTAGTGCTCCCCTCTTCCTCAAAAATACTGTTCTCAAGTCTTACCTGATTTTTTTTTCTTTCAGATTTATTTTATTTCCTTATGCATACAAGAGCTGGGGTATAGACCAGAATTGAGGGGGTGGGGGGAGCGGGGGTAAGAGGATTCACAGAGACAGAGTGGGGCAGGCAGATCGACTAAAGAACATTGCTGAGTGGAGCAGCAGGTGAGACAGGAGAGGACTGCTGCGCCATGTGGGTCAGCTCCCTGGCTGGGGAATCAAACTGTGCTGCAGTGGCTGCAATAGCTCAACAGTGCTGAGGCTTAACCCCTTGTGCCACGAAGGGGGGCTGTGAATGATTTTTTTTAATGCAATGATAACTACAATTAAATTACTGGATTGATTTATTTTAACTAGAAAGTAGATTGACTCACTTCACCCTGTGCAATGGTCATTTAATTCTATGTGTCCACTCGGCTTATCTATGGTGCCCAGTTGCATGTCAAACACCAAATTAGAGATTGCTATAAAGGTATCCTGTAGATGTGACTGTAACATTTACAATTAGCTGGCTGTAGGTAAAGAAGACTACCCGATACATGCAGGTAGGTTCACCGAAGCTGTTAAAGGAATTCTGATTTAAGACTGTTACAAAAGGATTCTGCTTGCTCCAAGTTTGCTGGCCTGCCCTACAGATTTCAGATAGGTCAGGTGCCACAACTGCCTGAGCCAATTTCTTAAAATCACTCAATGCCCCCCCCTTATATATACACATTCATATCAACTTCTCTCTCTCTGTTCTGTCCCTCTGGAGAGTCCTGAATGATACACCCCAGTTCAAAGGGGAACTATCATCACGCCATTGCGGGTGAAAATACACCCGCAGTCCCACGACAGTATTCAGCACTAAGTATGGCCACAGCAGAAGAGGGAAGGACACGATGGCCAGCTTCTAGCACAAAGACCGCTTCTTAGCTAGAGTATGCTGAACTCCCAGCCTCGTACACCCTGACGGGTGGACTGTGTCTGCTCTGCCGGGCGAAGTGCTTCATAAAAATTTTTGTATTTTCAAACTTTTCTGCTAAAATTCTTGTTTTGCTGAGAACTTCAGGCATTTTTAATTTGGCTTGAGTGTAGCTGTACGTATTTCTTGCTTTCTGTCATTCCCTTCACAGACCTCTGCTCGCAGCCTGGGACCACCATCCCCTTAGTGTCTGTACAGCTACTTTTTGAGTCTTCTTGCCTTTTCTCCTACTTTGTAACCAACTGCTTGAGTTCCCGGAAGGTGGAGGGTCGTGTTATCACTAATTTGGCTTGTCAGACTGTAGAGCAGAGGTGTGGTAACATGGCTGCCAGCTAGCCAGTAGACAGCACATACTGGCTTACTGGCTGTAATCGAAACTGAATGTTATGAACCATATACTTTTGTGCTATCCTGTTTAATTTCATTAATATCTCATTAGCAACCACAGGTATACTGAAGGATTTCTGAGCTACATAAATAGCGCATGTATTTAGTTCACAGCTGAATCAGATTTCTTACAAGTACACCAAGCAGGGAGGCCTTGGTCTACCTGTTTGCCAACATAAAGTTCACAGCTCCTGCACACAAAGGGTCTTTCCCTGTTGTAGGCAGAATACCAGGGCTTCCCCACCTTACTGTGCATTGCTATTGCAGTGACCTTGTTCAGGACACATCACCCAGACCACAGAATCTTTGGGGAGACTCTTGGTCATCAGTTGTTTTTTTATTTCTTTAAAAACAGCTCCTCAGGCGACAGTGTGTAGCCAGGGTGGGAATCACCAGGAGAAATGGGTCTCATAGTTTAATCAGGGGCTCATTCAAGCTTAATATACACCATGGAAGTCAGAGGCTGTATAGCTACTGAAGCTCAGATCATACAATGTTCTAGAAACATTATCATAGCTTGTGGAGAACTGAATCAGATTACAATTTCTCCCATGAGGATGCTACAGTTGAAGCAATTTGCCTGTCGGCTGAATAAAGAGTGGCTATACTAGTTTAGGTGCCTTAAAGCTTTACTTCCTCAAGGAAGAATGGACATCAGGAAAGCAGTGCCTACCACAATAATTCATCTAAAGACATCGAATTAACCCTCAGTACCTTTTTGGCTTCCTCAGCTGTGACAGAGCTTCCAGAGACTTCATCTTTGGTGATCAGAGTAACTCCATCTAAAAAGCAATTCACAGAGAAAAATCCAAATACAAGAGTTAATCCCAATCCCACCTTCCTCTCTGCCACACCTCCCCTATCTTTGTACTGGATATTTCTAAAACTATAAAAGTGTTCTTCACTGTAAGAAACAGAAAACTACAAAGTGAAATGGAACTCATATTGTTCCTTCCATCTTGTACTATCATTTCTCCTGTTTTGTTATGTAGAATAAAGGTCACCTCTCAAATGTTACCTGTTCCATGAACCTACCTTGAATAACTACAGACACAAATAATCTCTCCTTTAGAATTCTCAGATCACTGTATATGCCTTTGAAATAGTTTTCATCACATCTTACCTTGTATAACTATCTGTACATAGGTTATCTCTCCTAAAATTGTATTTTTCTCTAGTTAGGGATAGGTCTTACTCAACCTCAATGTAGAATATAGCATTACAGGATTTCCCCTCTATCCAGAAGTAAACTATTTCAATTTTCTATGATTTGGTAGGCTATTTTTTGAGCCTAGGAACTTATATGGAAAAAATACTTGAGCTGTCCTTCACTCAAAAATTAAGCTACCAGACCATACCACCATACCAAATAGGAGCATTCTGCTTTTGGATAGCCTATGAAACCTATAAATAAATGATACTTGAATGACTATATGCTTTGGTTCAAACTCATTAACTACTCAATACAGGGATCTGCTGGCATTTGACGCTGCTAGTATCCTGGCTATTGATGGAACGGCAGAGGATTAAGGTCAAGAGCAATGGCTCTTACAATGGCTGTGTCTATCATTTAGCGCAGCACATCAATTATGGTTCAGTGAGAGCAAATCAAGGATACAAAATCTACCCGTTAGTTTTCTCCTGCTCAAATGCCTTATGCATGACATCCTTTCAGAAAAGCATGTCCGTTTAACATCTACTTGTACCTAGAAACGGCATAGGTCAGGTGAATGCTCTCAATAGGTTATAAGCTCTCAGAAAATATGCATCTTGTGTATGTCCTATAAGTTTCTTTTCAGCAAACGATATGCTGGAGGCATTCGATAAATACCAAAACCAATCTTTTTCATCTACTGGGTCAGCAGTAGAGACACAAAAGTGATTTGAGTAAGCCCCATTCACCACCTATTCTAATTGCTTTTGCTCCCCAGTGTAGAAGTTAAAGGGCTGAAAAATTAACTGTCAGAGAAATGGCTGCCCTTGTGATGAGAAGCTGTGTAGACAGATATGCAACTCCTTTGTAGGGAATTTTCAGACAGGCTGAAACAAGTTTGGGGTTTTTAAGTGGAAAGTTTTATGCTTTGCAACATCACTGTTTTCACAATATGTATTTTTAATAGGTAACATCTCACATGGGTTCTAAAAGAAGATCAAGTTAAAAAAAAAAAAATGGGAAGAAGGGCATAAAGGAAAAAAATACCACAACTAAAATTGAAAGAATATACGATGTCTTCTAGGTTTAAGTTGCACTGGTTGCTATGAATAAGTGAGGAACTAACTGCTTTTGTGCGTGAAGACACCGCTTTGTTCACACACAAGCTCAAGGACTAAGGAAAGCCAGCAGGAGTGAGAGAGAGAGGGCATGGATCAACGTGGATCAAAGGGGTCTATGGATTTGAGAAAGAGGACAATGTTTTCCCACATCTGTTCTTTATTCAACAGTGGGGCACAGTCTTGGAACTGGAGCATGTTGCACAGAGTTTAGGACAGACAGACATAAATGCTTCTCATTTATCACTTTGTATGTGCTTATTAAACAAGAGTTTTAGCTCAATGAATCCTCCGTTCCAAATCCACGTCAGAAGTCACCAGATATCCATGTAACCACATAATATAACATATCTAGAATGTACAACTCTATTTGGAAAATAGTATGAAATTTGGAGAAAAAGACAAATGACACCTTACCCTGAATGATTATTTCCCAGAAATGATTTAATTGTTTCATTTCCACTTTTTCTCGCAGGGCTTTCAGGAAGTCGTTAAAGCGCCGCTCTTCTGAAAACTGGTGCCGTGTGGAGCAGAGGAGGTGGCAAGTCAGAGCAAGAACACAAACAGTCATCCCCAAAGCAAAGTGCTACATATTTTGAATCCACCATGATATTATTAAAAATACTAAAAATATCCTTCTTTGGTAAATGTGACACTTCCACTTTAAATTTCAGTTTTGTTTGCTGGGAACCAGAATCTTTCCTTGTGTGGAAAGGAGGCCCAGAACTTTCTAGTCATCACTGTTTATTTACAGCCCAGTATCTTCTTTTATAACTCTTAATAGACAAACTTAAACAAAAGCAGAAAGAGTAATATGGCGACTCCTCATGTATCCATCACCAGCTTCAATAATGATCAATTTGGCCAATCTGGTTTCATCTCACCCTGCCCTTCAACCATACACACTAACAAGTTTCAGTCACATTATTTTTATATATAAATATTTCAGTTCTCAAAATTAAAAATATATGCCTCTTAAAAATACTCACAAAATTTTGATTAGTAGAAAAGGTAAAAGAGATGTATTAGTCAACAGTATGGATTTGTCTCAACTACTTAGAAAGACTGTTTTATTAATTTGGCTATAATAGCTAGCATTCTACTATTTTTATAATGTTAAATATACTCAAAATGGTTACAAAAATGCAACAGTCAGTAGTCACATTTTCCAAATTATAAAACTTTTTTTCTCATTTTACAGTAAAAATGGTCTCTATATTAAGATAGACTGGCATGTTTCCAAAGTCCTTTGGTTCCCCCACCCCGCTCTCTCCTTCTCTGTCTCAAACAAACCCTGTGTACAGAGCAGTCGGCGACACCCCGCCCAGCCTCACAGCGTTTAAGAAGCCTCTGTATTTTCACTATCTTTCGAATTTAACTGAATCTTCACTTGACTCATTCTCAGACAAAATTTTGTTTTTATACCTAAATATATTATCTATAATTTTTTTAAATGTATGTAGAACATTTGGGTCATCTACTTTTGAATCTTTTAATCTATTCTGATTTTAACAATGTTCTCATTTTTTTAATCATTCATTGTAAGTTGAATCTCTAAACTATTCAGATATTTAACTTGTTCATTCATTCAGCAAATATTTAAAAGCACCCACATAAGAACTAACAGACTACAACTATACTTACTTGAAAGATATATTTTATAATTTAAATCTGGTAACTTTTTGCCTAGGGTGTGTGTGTGTGTGTGTGTGTGTGTGTGTGTATGTGTGTATGTATGTATGTGTGTGTGTGTGTGTGTGAGTACACACACACGCTATGTGTATACACACACACACACAAAGTCTAGAATAAAGCAATTTGTAAGATTTTTGGAAGTTTTTCCTAAAAATTTCCCATGATAAATATGTATCTATATGTATATATATGTATATATGTAACTCCCAGGTATGAAATGTCTCCCTTAGTCACCCTTCTTTATTCCCTCTTAGCGACGACAGTGAGTACAAAGTGAGCCCGTCATTCCTACTTCTTTTGGCATATATTGTTATTCATACTGAGAATGATTATTTCCACAGCCTGGGCTTACCTGCGGGACTCTCTGCCTTTCCCCTGTGACAGTGGTCAGTGGTTTAGGAAGCAGAGATGGGCAAGGACAGCTTTACCTGAATGGCTTCTTCACGGAAGACTTTGATACAGTCCATGCTCTTCATAAAATAAGGCGTCTCATTAGTATCCAAAAACTGCTCAATGCGACTTATTAGTTGGTGACTCACTAGAACATAAGACAATACATTTATTTTCCTTCATCTGAGTGATGCTCGTTAGAGTGCATGCTTTCCTGCCTGTGCATTTGTTAAGTGTCTATGGTAAGTTAAGAGCCTCATGGGTTAAGAAACTAAATAAAGTATTTTCTAACATACTATCTTGAACATATTGGAGAAAAATATTCTTGGTATGTACAAAAGCCCCTTAAGGGCTTGGGTATGAAGGGATGATGAGAGGTAAAATGTTAATACCAGAAATACTTGAGTTTGGACTCTATTTACTCATATTTGTCAAAACATCAAATTTCTCAAATGCTAAGAACTATAGTTTTAGGATCTGGGATTGCAAAAAAAAAAAATTGTTGCTTTAAAAAACTGTGGTTGCTTTTTTTTTTTATCCCTCGGAACTTAGGGACCAACTGTATTATTCAAAATTCTCTTTCTTGGTATTTTCATAAGAAGCAGATCCTCGAGGCCCTCCCCTAATTCCACTCATGATAAGTGTCAAACAGTGCCAGACACTGAAAAGTAGTAAGCTAGGGGCACTCCATCTTTTACCAATCCAGGGCAAACTAGAAAGGATCAGCCCACATCTTCACAATGTCCCTTTACAATGGGAAGCCACTACTGCTTGTCTTCTGCTATTAGCTGAAATTGAATCCTGTCTGCTGCTCAGGTCTACAGGTCATGATACTTAATAAACAATGACTGCCAGCAAGCAATGTCATAAATGCCACAGAAGGAGGAAGTGCATTCAGAATGTTAATACTTCCAAGGTGGGGTGCAACTTAAGGCTGCCTCCTAAACAAAGAATTCTTCAGTATGAAAAAAAATCAGAGGAAAATAGAAACAAAATTAGGAACTCTAAATTGCTGAGCAAATAAAAAAATGGCCGTGACAATTTGTGTAGAACAAATCCAGGAAGTATGAACACACCTGGCCTGAAGGCTCACTCTCCTTGTCCCTGAATCACTACCTGGCTGGCTGGCAGTTTATAAGGAATGGTCAAGGTTTTCACTGAGTCACGCTCACATAATCAAGCCTCACCTGAGCACTCTATGAGTCACATGTGCACACGATGCTGATGAAAACTATTTGAGCAGCCTCGAAGGGTCCAAGGTCCCTAAGTGAATTAGGGGCCAGAGCACTGCTCAACGCTTCTTGTAAGACATGAAATTTGGTGCCATGGACTTATTTTCTAAGGATCTTTCAGCATGTAGAGAGGATTAAAAACCTGGACAAAGTGTTTTCTGATATAATAATTTTGCAGTGAGAAAAATATTCCCAGTAACTATTTCACTTCTTCTACTAACCAGAAGATTATGAGCTCCATAATTAAAAAGTACTTAATAGGGCTCTCCCTGGTGGGACAATGGGTTAAAGCACTGCATTATGAAGCTTTCCAAAGCCACAGCAGCACGATCCCTGGCCAGGGAGTTGACACACATGGCGTGGCAGACTTCTCCTGACCCGCCTGCTGCTCCCCTCAGCAGCAAATTTCAGTAGATCTGCCTGTTCTGTTCTCCTCTCTGTCTCTGGTGAATCTTCTCATCCACCACACCTCTGGCCTGTACCCTAATTTTGTAAGCATAAATAAATCTTTTTTAAAAAGTACTTAACAAACTTGAGGGATTAAAGAAATGCCTGCCTGCAATTTCAGAAATATTTACTAATATACCCTATAGCTATGAATTAATACCCACTACAACTCAAAAGACAGAATGAATGTTCAGATGGTTTTTATTTGATATTCTCCATGTTACTTATAGCAGTCATTTCTCTGATCGCTTGGTATAAACTTCAGAATTATTATCTGAGCACAGGAAAGAACTTTTATAGGCCAATGACTTCAATGTCAGATACTCCAAGTTTCTGGTATCTTTTGAAATGAGAATGAGGAATCTTAGAAAGTATAATATAATGCTCTTCTTTATTCCATTTAGTGATTATTTTCATTAACTTATCCTATGTATATATATTTATTGCATAACTGCTATATATAAGACACATTCTGTGTTTTCTGGGAAATATAAGTAAGTTGAAGATCCTTGCTTTTGAGGAGTTAACATTTTATTAAGGGATATAATATACATCCACAAAAGTAATACTCAGAGGGAAATGTGAAGAGGGTTATGAATGGAATGGAAACTTATCAACTGACCTGAGTTTTTAATACTTGGTAATTATATAAAAACTTGATGAATTCACATGGCTTTTTAGAAAGTAATGAAAACAGGATTTAGCCATTAGATGGCCATGAACAAAGGAATGAAGAACAGATATGGGAAGGTACAGGGTGCTTTGAAGAAAGGCACATGGCCCAAAACACAGAATCTTCTTAAAGGGCAAGAAAAAGGAGGAGTAAGAATTAAACATAAAGAACTGGTTGGAGGAAAGGGAGTTCCATAAAGAAAAACAATGTATGTGAGGGTCTTCAAGAGCCAGAGCTTAGCTCCTTAGAAAGTGGGGGAAAAATGGGTTCAGGGGCAACTCTTTAAGGGACTGTAACATTTAGAGGTCAGACAGAGCGAAGTAGACTAAGAAGGATTGGGAAGGGTAACCGGAGAAAACCAGAGGGCATATGGGGCACTGACAGTAAGAGAAGAAATTATTTAAAGAGATTTATCTACTGTGTCCAAACTGTCACAGAAAGATTACAAAGAAAGGTGCATAATGAGTTCAGGGATTGAGAATTGGAATTTAGGGCCCTCCCTGGTGGTGCACTGCGAAGCTAGCCACAGCTGCTTCAGTGTGTGTTTGATCCCCGCCCTGGCAGCTGACCCATGGAGCAGCAGATCTCTCCTGTCTCACCTGCTGCTCCCCTCAGCAGTGTACTTAGTTAGTCTGCTTGTTACCACTGTGTCTCTGGTGAATCCTCTCACTGACCCTGCACCTCTGACCTGTACCCCAGTTTTGTATGCATAAAAAATAAATCTTAAAAAAAAAAAAAGAACTGAAATTTAGGGAATCCTCAACCTAGTAGCCAGCAACTAGAGATCACACAACTCCTTAACCCATTTGATCTTGATATGTGATAGAACAGACCCACAATTGCAATTTATGGAGAAAATATTTTTTAAAAGACTAAAATAATGCATATACAAAAGTCAACAATGATAATGGTAAGGAAGAAAAGGAAGTAGCAATCTTAGATCCAGTTTCTATTTAAGAAAGAAGTACCTGCATATTTGTGAGCCTCTTTGGATTTATTTATCTTGTTTACATGTTAATTGTTCTGTCCTTCTCTCCAGAGGGTTCAGACACATAGGTAGATAAACTTATCCAAACTTCCAATAAGTCCAATGAATATAAAGAACCAGGTTTTGCCCTTGCAAGAATAATCAATTACATGGCCTGTGCATGTGGCCATGATTGTGAATTCTGTCCTTCTACCTAGACTATCCCATTGCTCACTGGCCATAACGAACCACCTAACACCAGAGAGTAACATGGGATGTGGTACTTCATGTCTCACTGGTATTCTTTAAAAAAGTAAAATGCAGAAATGGCTCACAAAAATAACATTCTACTTTGGTTGAATTATGCTTTTGATTCCCCCTTCCTTTCTGTCTTGATAAAGGAAATGACTGCCATTAGGGTGCTTGTCTCTGCTTCGACATCAATTATATGGCTAAAGAATGACCTGTCAATCTTCATACTCAGTAAATCACAGCCCCAATTATATTTCACCAAAATGCTTTTCAGAATTAGTCAGAGGCTCAATAATACTCATTAGTAACTAATAGAAAAAATGGCCATTGGAAGGACCATTCATCTCAGGATAACAAGTCAGGCTGAGGTTGTCATTTATCTTGAGGAGTCTCCAAAATCAAAATAATTGCTCTGGATTTCAAAAATATCTGTTCTGGATTTTGAGGTTTAAAAATAAAGGACCTTATATACCAATCCAGCATGTTACCTTAAACCAGCTCAGATGATGATACATAAAATTAATCTCAGTACAATAACACTTTAGTATTACAACAAAAATGCTACCCAGATTCAGACATGTTGATGTACGAGAAAAGGGCAGCATTTTCTTGTATAGTCTGAAATGTATGTACTCCTTCTTAAGAGAAAACACTCAATACCATACAAAATCTTACAGAATGTATCACCTCCCTTCTTGTCAAACAGTAACAAAGGCCAGAACACCCAAGGCCCCATGTTCATCAGCCTCTGACTTACTTACTTACTACCTTGTTCTTTGCAAAGATGTTTCTAACAAAATGAAAGGAAGTCATTTACTGTGAGTCTCCCCCTCCATCTGCAGAGCCAAAAAGCCCTAGTAGATTCGCTCATCTGTTCCACATTATAGAGAACTGTAAGGCCATCTCCAATGATTTTACTGAATTCAGTTATCATTTACATTTCCCAATTTAATTCTTCTCTTTACCTCACTGTCTCTTGTGAATTTCACTTATTAAAGAGGTATGCAGTGGGGAATGGGATCAAAAACAGTGGGGGGAGGGAAATGCACTGGACTATGGTGATGGCACATGGATGATTTGGTGAAAGGAAGCCCAAGGGGATTGCAACTGAGATGGAAAAATGCACAAAATTATGTGAAAATAAACTATTATATAAAAATCAAATAAATAAATAAATAAGAGGTATGTACTTTGCAGATATTAGCAGTGAAATAACTTTCTATTGCTAAGACCAGATTTGCATGGCCAATGACATCTTTATAAAACAAAATAGAAAAGTGGCAATTAAAAAATCCAACACTTAAATATGTGGTCAGGTTGGTCCTTAGGAGAATAAAAAGTAGAAATATCTATTAGCAAATAACGTAAGCAAGTTGTCCAGTTTGCCACCAATTAAATTTACTTGTGAATTATAATCAGTTTTAAAAATAGAAATTTGTAAGAAACAATTGCCTGCTAAGAAAATGAGTCTGTTTTAATATAGGCAGCTAAAAACAGAAATGGATCACAAGCAGGTTTCCTCAGGTCTCTTACAGGATATAAATTAATGGGTCACTATACCTCAGTCAGGGTCTAGC